ACCACCCGCCACCTCCTTGTTCAGCGCGCCAGCAAATCCAATCTTGGCATCCAGCTCCTCCAGGGCCATAAAATCCAGAGGTAAAACTCCCTGAGAATAATGGGTTCCCTTAAAAAAAAATCTTGTAAACAAGCTAATGGCTGCAATGTAAACTCGTAAATAAGGAACCCCTCCCCAGCTCCCACCGGTGTGGGGCTAAATGTGCCTTTTCCTCCATCATGGGCCCTGAGTCATGGGGGAGGAGGAACAGGTCTTGCTTCAACCATTAAAGCCTCTACTCTGTAGAGAAGGGCTGATCCTTCCGGATGGCTCTGGAAGTCATTTTTATTTAGACGTAATTGGGTCAGATCTTCAGCTGGTGGAAAAGGTGTAGTCTGAAGTCAGGGCATGGAGCTCCAGCAATCTGCAGCAACTGGCCTGGTTATTCAGCTGATCCCAGGCTTCCTGCAGCTTCCCCCCACCCCCTTCATGGAAACTGCGATCTCTGTTCTGGACAGCAACTGTCCCCTCTTGCCACCACCATGAATGAGGATTGAACCTGGGACCTTCACCTAAAACACTCTCCCACTCAAGCTGGGGTAGTAATTGTTAGCTGTGTGGCTGATTGTTGCATTTGCTGGGCCCAGCCACTGCGGGGAGACATAATGACAGGCACTAAACTAGTATATTTTGTGGGTGCTGCCACCGAGGGGTGGCTGGGGGGGGACCCTTTCCCCTCAGGCATGCCTGAGGGGAATGTATGACACACCTCTGCAAGGGGTTGGGTCCCAGGAAGCATCTGGCTTGGCTGAGGGAATAGGAATAAGAATGGTTAAGATGGGGCAGGCAAAATGTCTCCAGCTGAAGCCCCCCTCTCCCCCCCCCCATGAGCGAGGCTGCAGCTTTCACAGCCACCTTCTCCCCCTTTGACGTTCATCCGCGCTGACCCTGGGTTCTGCAAACCCAAATTGCTGTGTTACAAGAGAGGGAAGTGACTTGTTCAAGGTCATGTAATAGATCAGTGGCAGAACTGAGGCTCGATTCCCCCCCCCCCCCCCCCCGAGTCCCTGCTGCACTAATCACTAGCCACTCTTCCCTTTTCCCACGACCCGTTAACAGCCATTGACATCTTTCTCCCTGTCTGGGCCAAGAGTTTCCAAAGTGACCCGTGATTCTGGGCACCTCTGGTTTTGGGGCCCCACCTGGAGACACCTGAAGGGGGCATGATTTTCAGAAGGTGGGTGCTCAGCACTTAGAGTCAGGCCCCTTGATGGCATCTCAAGCCAGGCCACTAAAATCACTGGCCATATAGGAAAACCTTGGCCCTGATCTGCACGTTGTGTGTACCCCGTTCCTCTAGGGGGGCAGGACAGACAGATTAGCAAATTCCCACCGCCTGCATGGGTGTCCCTGGGCTGGTCCCCTCAGTGGCTGAGCTTGTCCTATGATTTGACTGGGGAGGTTGTCTCTGGATGGCAGGGGTCCTGGGCCACATGCCCTGACTGGGTCAGGGAGCAGGGAACCCCTGGGCTGCTAGGCCCTGCCTAGCCAGAGTAGAAAGAGGGCTCCCCAACCCGGACACCTGGGACCCTCTGCCCAGGCTGGGATTAGAGGAGACCTGCTTGGATGCCTGGAACTCTCAAAATAACATAGCGCCCCCTACAGCTGGAATGAGGCATCTGGGCAGAGTGCTCTAAACTGGGGGACAGCAGGATTGTACTGTCTGCAGCCTGAGCCCAGCTTCTCATCCCTTCCTGAGCCTCCAACCCCACAGCCCCAGTCACCAGCCCCTCTCCACCTTGCCCCCCCTGGTATTTGGCTGCTTTAGGTGATGCATGGCCTGGCTGTTTGCAAGAGCTGGCCCTGATCATCTCCCCTGCAGGGGCGGTGCCCTGGCGGTGAGGCCTTTGCTTTGCCCTCCATCCTGGCAGTGCAGTGAGGGGGCAGCCTGGGCCCAGGTGTGGGGCTGAAAGCTGAGGCTGCTTAGGACCCAGTAGAATTCTCTGTATGAATGACTGTGCTTTAAAAGGCCAGGCAAAGACCAGATGTGACAGCCTGTGCCATCCGCAGCACAGAGCTGCTGCAGTAGCCTCCCGGCACCCATCCAGACGGGGGAGAGAGGGGACCGCTGCCAGGCAAATGTGCCCCCTGCTTCCCCAGAGGATGCTGTGAGGCCCTCCATCATCCCAGCTTCAGGGGCTGGGACAGTGGACACCCCCCCTCCCCACACACACACTGGCACAGGGAGCCAGAGGGACTCTGATGCCATAAGCCAAGCAGGCGTGTGGAGGTGAGACACCGGCCGCCTTGCTTCGGGAGGGCTTTGCTCATTCATGTCCCCACCAGGAGTGGGGTCCGCTGTAGCATGGGACTGTGAAGCCCACCCTGATCCCAGGGGCAGGGAGAGAGCTGAAGCCATCACAGCGCATATCCGATCAGAGGGGTAAAAGTTGCTCACCTGATAGAGCCGAGATGAGGACCCCACTGGCCAGCGGGAGAAGCCAGCCTGGGTGCCAGCCTCCTAAGAGTCTCCAGGTGCATTTGAGTCTGGTGAGTTACCCACCTCCTGCCAGGAGAAGGGGGGGGAGGGGATTCATTCTCTTACTAAATGACAATGGCAGGGTGGGGCCCGATCTTGCCAGGCCCTCGGCACCCCCCAGATCAAGGGATCTGGTCCTTCTTTGTAGACAGTTTCACGTAATTTGTGTCCCAAATGCGCTCTGGGGTTAGGAGCAGATTACCGGAGGGGCTGGTGGAGAGATCTGGAGGCAAACGAGGTGCATTTACCACTGGGATTTGGAAAGGGGGCCACTGAGCAGGCACAGACATGGGCTTTGCCTTAGGCCAGGGCTAGATGTGAAACTAGCTAGTAATGTTGGTTGGAGGGATATTTTAGACATGTCTATCCTGGCAAGAGCCCTAGTGTAGACACTGTTATACCAGCAAAACAAGTGTTTTGGCCGGTATAGGCTACTTCATCCGGGGAACTGGTCTGAGCACTCTTGTTGTGGAAAGCTGCATTTCCGCTGGGAGGGCTAGGTCTGTAGCTGGAGCCGTGTAGCTATACCCGCAAACCCTTTCCAGTGTAGACTAGGCCCTTCAGAGTGAGACAGACTGCTCTTGCACCAGTGTTTTGTGAGGGGAAGCCAGGTGCTCTCCTCTGGAGCTTTTCATCCAGAGATCTCAACGCCCTTTTTAAGGATGGTAAAGGCTCATATTCCCCATGTTACTGATGGGGAAACTGAGTCACAGAGTGACTTAGAATCATAGAAATGTAAGGCTGGAAGACACCTTGAGAGCTCATCAAGTCCAGCCCCCTAGTCAGTGGCAGTGCTGGGAATAGATCTCCTAAGGCCCAGGCAGATTCCCTGTCCACTGGACTAGGTTGTGCCCAGGAGTGGTCATGGGGGGCATAGAAGGAGAGCAGAGAGAAAGGGATCTGTAATACTGAGCATGCTGTTTATAGAGCAGGGGGGTGGATTTGAATGGCCCGGGCTTTGGCTGTGGTCACCCCCATTCTGTATTCTCTCTGCAGGGCGCATGGCGGGAGGGTCCTGCTGCCCAGCCTAGGGGAGCTGCTGGAGAATGCTCCCAGCAAGCCAGTTCTGAGCTGTGACCGGAGGATTGGCAGCAGTTCCTAAGCATCGCGCTGCTCCAGTCCAGAACCAGAACCTGCCACGTGCCTGGCTGGGCCCAAGCCAAACAGCTGGCTTCAAAGGCCAGCCACGAGCTGCTCCCAAATGAGCTCTGGGTTAGCAATGGTTAATGGGGGGCCAATGGGTGAAGGAGACTCTGTGCTCAAAGGCAGAGACTCCATCACCAGCCCAAGGGGAAGCTCCCTGAATCACTGATTTACCCGCCTCTCCATGGGCTGCATTTGCGTCTGTTTGTCCTTCCCCGGTTCCTGCAGCGAGGCCAGCATTCAACACAGCCCTTCTGGGCCCCTCTGTCCCAGAGAGTCGGGCTGCCCTTAGCCCGGTTTTCAGTGCCCTGCCATGGCCCTCCAGTCCTGCAGCTTTGTGGAGCCCCCTGGAGCCCCCACACCAAATTCCTTACCAGGCTCTGGCCCTGCTGGGCGCTGCCTCTGCTGCCGGAGCCCCCAGGAGAGACGCCACTCAGTGTGGGTGTGGGACTCAGATGGGCAACATCCGGACAACAGGGGCTTGATCTGCCCCCAGGCTCATGCTGATGGAGAGTTTGCCAGCAGAGGAGGGGTCCCACAGGCAAGTGCTTCTGCGGGCACTGGCACCACCCTACCAAGGGGGAGCTGTGGGAAGTGAGGCGCCGGGGGCTGCCACTCCCTGGGCTGGGCTCATGTGAGTAAACAAGGGGGGTCGCTCAGCAGGGCTGTCAGTGCAGCAGCTCCCCCAGCACTGAGTTTGCCCGTGGGGGAGGAGGCCCTGCTGCCTTTGCTCCAGTCCCCGCCTTCCCCCCCCCCCCAGTGAAAGAGAGGTTCTTTGCTTTGCACAAAGGGCCGGCTCCCCCAGCGCTAGATGGCCATTCGGGCCCAGGGAGCTGAGGGAGGCGCCAGGGCTTCCGAGCAGCCTGCTGCACACGACTGGTGGAGGGGGACAGAGTGCAGGGCCAAGGTCATGACCCGGCCTATCCAGTTTGGAGCCATCTGTGCCCCCTGGGGTAGAAGGAGCAGCCCATGGATTTTCCCCAGTTGTCCCCTACCCACTGCTCATGGTACCAACTCCCACCAAAGCCCGAGGAGTCATGGGCCCAAATGTCTAGCTGCCCTAGAATCAGAGCCATCCTATTTGGCACTGGCCAGTCACCAGAAGCTTGGGGTTTTTAGAAGAAATCAAAACTGGGTGTGGGAAGAAACTACCAAATACAGGTATCAGGGGTAGCCCTGTTAGTCTGAATCTGTAAAAAGCAACAGAGGGTCCTGTGGCACCTTTAAGATTAACAGAAGTATTGGAGGCAGGCTTGCGTCTGATGAAGTGGGCATTCACCCACGAAAGCTTATGCTCCAAAACTTCTGTTAGTCTTAAAGGTGCCACAGGACCCTCTGTTGCTTTTTACCAAACACAGCAGCATTAAAGCTGGAACAAGGCTGTGGGGAGAGCCATGCCCTGAATTCACCACCATAGGAGCATTGCAATTGTCAGATGAGATCCAAGCCATCTAGCTCAGTGTCCTGTCTCTACGAGAGGAAGGTGCAGGAAACCACCTCAGCCCGTGTATTTAGAGACTGGCTTAAACCCTGAAGTATGAGGTTTAATAGCTGTGCAAAATGTATGTTCTCACATCTGTGATAACTCTGGATCTGGTTATCCATGTAAGTGTCCAATCCCTTTTTTAGTATTGCTAAATTAGTGAAGCCCCCATGACTTCCTGTGGCAATGAGTTCCACTGGCTAATTGCATGCTGTGTGGAAAAGGTTGATTGGTCCATTGATTGGTTTCGAATTTCCCACTTTTCAGTTTCATTGAACATTGCCTGGTTCTTGTGTCATGAGGCAGAGAGGACAGACGCTCCCAATCTTCCTTCTCCGTTCCAGTCATTATTTTATAGACATTTATCTTATCCCCTCTTATTTGTCTCCTTTCACTTCCAATGGAAAACCAGAGAAATGTCTTTGGGAATTGGGGCTTGTGGTTGAGGTCCCTGTTCCAATCCAGGTTGAGCATTTACTGATGAGGAGCCTGAAGCAATGTTTAATTAGGCCCTAGCGGTGATACAATACTCGGTACGTGACTCAAATGTTGTGCGGTGGGTGGCAAAGGACCCAACATGGTCGCCTCCTGAACACAATAGGCTGTGGCCCCATGTTATGACTGCCTGGCCGTCTGTGTAGGAGAAGCAGCTGGTTCCAGGACAGTTCTTAATGGACAGGTACCCACAGCACAAAGCAACGGGCACAATTTGCCCCCTCAATGGCAATCTCAGTGAAGAAGCCATGGGTAGGGATGGAGCCTGCTTTGTTCTCAAACTCCCTCCAGCTCCGGATTGAGGTGCTCGCTGCAGTGGGGGTTACCCATACCTGCACAGGACTGATCTGCTCCTGCTAGCGGCTGCTGGTTTCTGGAAGCCAGACATCCTCTCTGCCCTCCTTGCTGGTAGACAATCAGCAAGGAGCTCTGCACTGGGGCAGTAGAAGAGAGGGCTGTTGTAGCACTGAGAAGGCTCTCCTAGCTTGGCTTGTGATTCCTCCCCAAGCCTCACCCTGTAGCATGTCACCTCTAGCATCTCGCCTGTCTCTGTTGGCTTGAAAAATAGGAGTTGCCAAGTTGCTCCTAATCTTAGGACCCCACACAAGCAGAAAGGTGAGGTGCTCGTGTCATCCCCAGGGTCATTCAGGGTTGGAGTCACTTGCAAGTGAGCAATGAGAATGTCTTGCAATGCTTCTCAATTTTGCTCCCCTCCCTTTTCCCCACAGGGAAGAAGATCCACCCGGGAAGAAGATGGGGGTGGTGACATTTCCTGCTAGGAGATACTGGCAACTTGTTCCTGCTTCCCAGGTGCTGGAGTTCTCAGAGTAGCCCGGAGGCACAATGGCAAACAGAACTGGGCTTAACACTACTCAGGGGCTAGACACTTCCTCTCTACCAGAGGTGTCCCAATTCCAGGAGGCCGTTGGCCTTTTCTTCATGGTCCTGCTGAACCTCGTAGCCCTGGTTGCCAATGTGGCAGTGATGGTGGTCATCCTCAAGACCCCTCTGCTGAGGAAGTTCATCTTTGTCTGCCACCTCTGCTTGGTGGATCTGTTGTCCGCCATCTTCCTGATGCCGCTGGGGATCATTTCCAGTTCCTCTTGCTTCAACAGGGTGATCTACAGCATCGCAGAGTGCCAGACCTTAATCTTCTTGAACATCTGCTTCATCAGCGCCTCCATCCTCACCATCTCAGTCATCAGCGTGGAGAGATATTACTACATTGTTCACCCCATGCGGTACGAGGTCAAGATGACGGTTGGGCTGGCAGTCACAGTGGTGGTCTTCATCTGGATTAAGTCGATCCTGGTCACAGTCTTGGCATTGGTGGGGTGGCCTCAAGACAATGGGGCCACAAGTGCCAGTAAGTGCACTGTGTCCTGGAGCCCTGGGGCCCACAAGAAGGTCTTTGTTATTGTCTTCAGCACCCTCTGCTTCTTCCTGCCTACCCTGGTCATCTTTGCTGTCTACTGCAGCATCTACAAAGTGGCCCGGATTGCCTCCTTGCAGCATGTGCCTGTCCCCTCTTGGACCGCTGCCCCGCGGCAGCGATCGGAGTCTATTAACAGCCAAGTCACTATTATTACTACCAGAAACCTGCCTCCCAGGCTGTCCCCAGAGCGGATGTTTGGAGGGGGAAAAGCTGCCATGACCGTGGTCCTCATTGTGGGTCAATTCTTGTGCTGCTGGTTGCCATTCTTCTCCTTCCATTTATACTGCTCCATTAACTCTGTCAGCCCGGGCAGAGGCCACGGGGAGACAATCGTCACCTGGCTCGCCTACTCCTCCTTTGCTATCAACCCTTTTTTCTATGGGTTACTGAACCGCCAGATACGGGAAGAGCTGTCTAGGCTGGGGCGGAGCTGCCTCAACAGACCCTTGAGCCAGGAGCTCTGTCTCTCCAGCCCGGAGGGTTCCATACAGGAGAACTTCCTTCAGTTCCTGCAGAGGACCAGCTGCACACTGGAGACCCGATCCAGTTATGTCAACTCTAGCCCCAGGAACACGTTGGACCAGACCATGATGGGCTTCAGAATTCCAGGCCAAATCCCAGAAGAAACCAACTGAGAAAGCACAGTTGGCTGGGGTCAACTTCATTTCCTTGTTCTCCATATCCTGGCCTCTGCTAGGAGAAGGATTGAAGCAGGGTTTCAGCTAATCCGAAGGACTGACCAACCCTTTTTTGACCTGGCGGGAGGGTCGGGGTTATGGCTTTGGAAGAACTTGCCTTCAGCCAGAGTAAATCCAGTTAAAAGCTATTTCCGTGGCTTTACAATATTGAGCCAGCCTTGTTTCATGGGTAGGAGACAAAGAGGGAGAAAGCAAGAAGGCAGGGAGCTGGAAAAGGACAACGGCGCTCACTAGAGCTAATTTTCTTCCTCTCCCAGCATTTTCCCTGACACTGACATGTCACGAGCACCAAACTCCAGCATCTGAGCCGTTAGGGAGGTTCTGCTTTTGCCTAGTCTTCTAGATTAATAGACCTTTCGATGGAGGTCCAGGGAGATCAAGTGACATGCCAGAGGTCACCTAGTGCCTCAGTTGTGGGGGATGGAGGTAGGAGGACCTCAGGCCCCTTCTGTTTCTGCATCCTTTGCTCAGACCACTAGGCAACACTGCCTCCCTCTGGTTTAGGGCTCAGCCATCCCAGGAGTGAGGGCTGGCTGAGCAGCAGTAAATTACCCTAGCTATGAGGGACGGGCAGGGAGTCACTCATGATCGGGTCCTTTTAAGAAAGGGTTTGGGTTACTTCTCTGGACTCACCCTTATGCCAGCTCATGGGATCAGAGAACAGGCTATTGATAAAGAAACCAGACTGCAGGGTTTATCGACCCACTGAGGTATTTAGATAGCAGCCCCTCGTTTTGCAGGAGCAGAGTTTTGCTCTGCAGCGATCGCTCCCAAGCTATTGACCTCTGGGAAGGCAGGTGAAACTGACATGCAAAGCTGTGATAGGAGGCAAGTGACAGCAGCGGGTGGTAGGTGCCGGCCTGCCTTAAGGCTCTTGCAACGCCAGACAGCCTAATCCAAAGCGAAGGCAGCTCCTTCAGTGGCTGGCTGTGACAAATGCAGGTTGGCAGGGAGAGATGAAGAGAGCGAGGAATTATTCCAGGGCATGCGGGCCAAATTAATCCATGGGGCAACACTGCTGATTTCAAGGACGGCAAAGGACCTAGCACACTTTAGGTGCTATAGCAGGTGGTGATAACAATGGCAGTAATACCATGACTCCCCTGATTTCAATCACATTACACACCAGCAGTTCACTGAGCTCCCTGTCTCAGGTGGGGACGTTGCACTTCAGGAGACCCTTCATATGTTTCTCTGCAGAGACAGCCAGCAGTAAATGTGAAGGGCCAGATCCCCAAAGATATTTAGGCTCTTAACTTCGGTTGAAACCAATGGGATTTAGGAGCCTAAATACCCTTTGAGGCTCTGGGCCTAAAGCGTTCTTGACTGGATATTTTCCCCACCCCGGCTGGCTCCAGAGGCATTTGTAATTATTTTTTAATCGACCGCTAATGTCTTTTCAACAGATGTATTTTAACAACTGTCTATTAATAGAGGCAAAGGAAGTGCCAGGCTCAGAAGCTTTGTTTGTTTTGAAGAAGAGGCAGAGTCCCCTTTTCCTCTCCTCCTGGCACAGTGTGGGAAGGTGCCTCTCTCTTTAAACGTCTCAGTGCAAACCTGTGGAGAGTACTTGGTGGGGAGACTATCTTCTGGTGGCTAGACACAGGGAATTGATGGCAGAAATGACTCACCAGGAGGCTCTAACATAAGGCCCAAACTCAGTTATGTGATTATGGGGGGAGGGATAGCTCAGTGGTTTGAGCATTGGCCTGCTAAACCCAGGGTTGTGAGTGAGGGGGCCACTTGGGGATCTGGGGCAAAATCAGTACTTGGTCCTGCTAGTGAAGGCAGGGGGCTGGACTTGATGACCTTTCAGGGTCCCTTCCAGTTCTATGAGATAGTTATATCTCCATATATTTTTTATTTTATTTTTACAGCTTCGTCTTGCTTGGAAATGGGAGACTCTAGGAAATAGAGCCGGGAAATGCCCATTATGGCATGTTGGTGTCAGTTACCCCTTGCTTAGTTATCAGATGTTCTAGGCCTGGTTCCCCCGTGTTATGAGTGCAAAGTCATTGTAAAGTGCCACCAGATCACGATGATATTGTCAGGGTTCCTTCACCACTCTGAACTCTGGGGTACAGATGTGGGGACCCACATGAAAGACCCCCTACGCTTATTTTTACCAGCTTAGGTTAAAACTTTTCCAAGGCACAAGTTCCACCTTGTCCTTGATCGCTGCCACCACCAAGTGATTTAAACAAACATTCAGGGAAGGCCACTTGGAGCCCTACCTCCCCCAAAATATCCCTCCAAGCCCCCTTTCCTGTGGAGGCTTGAGAATAATATCCTAACCAACTGGTTACAAAGTGAGCACAGATCAACCCCCCTGGGTCTTTAGGACACTGAAAAACAATCAGGTTCTTAAAAGAAGTTTATTTTTTAAAAAAAATCACCCTGTAAAATACAGGGTAACAAAAAGATTCCAAACACAGAGGATTTCCCCTCTAGGCAAAACTTTAAAGTTACAAAAACAAGGATAAACCTCCCTCTTATCACAGGGAAAATTCACAAGCTAAAACAAAAGATAATCTAATGCATTTCTTTGCTATTACTTACTATTTCTGCAATACTAGATGCTTAGTCCAGATATGGTTTAGGGAGATGTATTTGCCCTGCCCTGGTTCCTTTGCTGACTCCCAGAGAACAAAACAAACACAAAAACCTCCCCCCACAGATTTGAAAGTATCTTCTCCCCTTATTGGTCCTTTTGGTCAGGTGCCAATCAGGTTATCTGAGCTTCTTAACCCTTTACAGGTAAAAGAGGAATTAACCCTTTACAAGGTAAAGAGGGATTTTATGCTACCCTTAGCTGTATGTTTGACAGATACATTGACAGAAGCCCCGCTCCCCGCCAAACCCATTTAAAAATGTCCACGGGGGGGGAGTTGCACCAGTTTAACTGGCTTTAGCTAAACCACTGCCAGCTTTGAGTGTGGATAAGGCCTACGGATTGTAAAGTGCTTTAAGAAGATGGATGAATGAGCATCCCATGAAGTTGGTTAGTAGCACTGTGCTCCTCTTACCGAGGCTGAGGCCCTTGCACCACCAAGCCTGTCGGGTCCCACCTTTCCCAGAGCATCTCAGACATCTCACAGCATCTCAGACACCCCCCAGTGGGGGGGCTGTCTTTCCCCCCAACTCTCACCCAGCAGGAGGCGTCGGTTAGATCTGATCAGCAAAGCGCCTGTTAAACTGGCCCCGTGGCACTGCACAGCTGCGTTGAGTCATAGCCGCTGTGTTTACTGACACAAAGCCCGGAGTGCAAGCGGGAGGCTGATCTGCCTTGTGCATCCCTTGGGCAGTTGCCAGTGAAGCTCTCATTCCAGGAGCTTTCTGAGTAACGAGACGTATCAAACCAGGCAGGAAGGACAAGGCTTTGATTTCCAGAGAGCAGCATGAACTGCCAGGGATGGGGGTTAAAATAAAACCTTGCGAATGGCGCCGATTTGCTTATGGATGGGGAAAAAGCTCCAAACTGCTCGGGCCAGGGGGAGGGAATTCTAGGGGGAGTGGGTGGCTAATGCCCCTTTGGCAATCCCAGCCTCCCTGTGTTTTACAGAGTCCCTTTATTATTATTTCTCTTACCCTGACAACACAGGAGAGGGATGACTCATCCCCCTGCGTCATTCAGCCCTTTCTGTGATCACACCAGCCAGGCTGCGGCACTGGGCTGAAAGAAGCCAGCAGTCTTTCCATGCCTTTGACCTAGTACAGACGAGCAAAAGTTATTTTCACTTTCCCTTTGCAGCCCCCTGTGCTCTCTCCAAGCGCTCCAGCCAGCTCCTTCTTCCCCTTCCATTTAGTGTCAGCGCAGTTGGCGTTTCTTGGTACAACATGGGAAAAGGTGACGGCAAGCCAGGTGCACACTTTCCTAGACAAGCACAACAGAAATCATCCCCATGCTGACACCAAGCCTAGGGTCACAGTGCAAGGGTCTCTTATCTGGATCATTGTGGGAAAGCAGCTCTGTCTTCTCCCCACTTGGGGGAAATGCCGCTCATGCCTCAGCTCCACAGTGTCTGTGCAGTGTGTAGCCCCCACCCTTCAGCTACTGGTGTGGAGAGAGAGAAGCCTTTACACAAGATGCACATTTCCTTGTGGCCCATGTACAATTGCTGACGATCAGTGAATGACCTGCTCAGTTTCTGCCAATTCCTGCTTCTTTCTTCCTGTGATCTGACAATGTCCGTTTCCAGCGGACCCTTTCCCAACCAGATTTGTCCCCCGTGAAGTGTTGCGGTTCTACCCAGCGTGTCTTGGGCCCATTGGTCTGGCCACTGTAAGGCTAATGACTGTACAGAACGCCTCTACAGGTAGGGTTTCGTTACCATGCACATGGATTTAAGCCCTTTCCATACGACATAGCCCAAGACAAAGAACTACATCTCATTTTTCTTGTTATATGTTTGTAGAGTGGCCAGCACAACGGGGTCCTGGCCACTAGCTGCTGCTGTACTATAAACAATCACACACGAAGAATATGCAAAAAAGAGCGCTGAGGTTGCAAAGTCAAGCACTCAGAAGCGAGGACACGCTAGAATGAAGCTTGGCTGTGCAACCTTAATGCAGCTCCCTTGTGTGTATGTGTGATGCTACCATCGTCAATTCTATGTGCACATGCTCTGAATTCCACTACCTCAGTCACTGCCCAGGATGGCTGGTGCTCGTTGAGTGAGCCGCACTTTGCTGTTTTGTTTGATCCTTGTTGAAAGTGCGGCCCTCAGATCGTATTTGCGGCATGCTGTTCAGACCCTGCGCTGGAGACAGAATTATTAATAGGCATATGGCTTTCCTAGGGCGCTGTCGCCGGGTGCCTGGCCTTTTAAGGGGAAAGGGTCCCAGCCCCACTAGTGAAACACACGATTTGCCTCCCCAGGTGGAAAAAAATGGACAAAGTCCCAGGACAGGTAGGTCATTGGCTAAATCAGGCCTTCTGGGGTGCAGCGAGAAGACCGAAACCTGGAGAAAGCAAGAGCAAGCTGGGAAAAGGGAGGCTCCACGCCCAAAGCTGCCTTGCTAAAAAGACAAAGGAGCCCGGGAGGGGCTGAGGAGAGATCTGAGGGAGCAGGGACTGGGCTCAGCTTTCCACGGGGCGTGGGAGACGTTTTATCTATACGCTGGAAGGGGTGGACTTTTTCTTTATGGCTGAGCTGGAGGCTCAGGTCCCCGCAGCAACCAAACCAGGTTGGGAGTTCAGGAAACCCAATTTGAGCGAGGAAGAGCTGAGGCAGCGGCTAGCCTGAAAGCCAGACTGGGCAGCCGGCACTGCTACAGATGTTCATCGCCCTGAACCTGCATGCGTCACAGCTTCTCACGCTTTTCCCCCCGGCCCCCTCCTGCTTCCCACTCTTCCCCTATGGCCTGGGCTAGGGCAGGACAGCCTGCGGCTGGGGACTCAGGGTGGCTGGGGGCAGTCGCCCACCCAGCACTCTGGGGCTGGGGTGCTGGGGCCACGCTGCCCGCCTGGTGCTCTGGGGCTGGGGGTGCTCATGAGGGCTGGGGCACGGGAGGGGCGGCTGCGTGGGGGGGGCTAGCCTCCCCTAATCGGCGGTTCATGCACTGCCCATGCTTTGCTTCATTCACGGCACACCTGCAACAAACGCAGCTGACAGTTCTACAGACAATGGCTGGCTGCCATACACTACCCTAATTCATCCTCAGAATGGATCCATCCTGGGCACCGAATGAGGCAGTGTCCTGGGGAAAAACAGTACAGGCTCATGTCATTAAAGCCTGTCAGACAATACACGCCCAAGGGGGCCAAATTGAGGTTGGATGGGCAGGCTTCATTCAGCATCCACTCCATTACCCTGGCAGCGTGTATATCCATAGTAACTCCCCTGCCTTACTCTGAGTTTACACCAGTGTAGCAGAGATCAGCGGCTGGCCCACTTAGTGTAATTGCTCAGGGAGCTGGAGGGCCCTGCAATCGCTAGCTAATTACCCAGCAGACAGGATATTTACTAAACGCAGTCCGCATGGCTACCATGGCAGGAAAGAGGAGTTTCCACATGCGCCAGGAGGTAGCCCTACATCGGGACCCTCCTCAGCTTCACAGCCACACCTGTTATGGCATTTACATGGGATCTGCTTTCAGCCTCTAAGAGAGAATGGCTTCCAAAATCTATCTGGATTCCTGCAGTTTTGGTTACTACTGCAGGGTGACCTCCACATGCTCCCAGTCCCAGATTCCCCCTCCCACCTCCAAAGCATATGTTCTGCCCTCTCCTGGACAGTCCATAGCCCCTCTAAGGTAGGGTTACCATATCTCATAAATAAAAAAAGAGGACCCTCCACGGGCCATGGCCCCGCCCATTTCCCCACCCCTAGCCCCGCCCCAACTCCGCCCCTTCCCCCACCCTAACTCTGCCCCCTCCTCCCTCCCACTCCCTAGACAGGGGGAAAGGGCTGCCCCAGTGCTACCAGCTTCACGGTTTGCCGG